GAGTGGATTTCTCTCTGTTGAGTAGAATGCCCAGCTCGTGGAAAGCGTGTGTCACTATGTGAACATGATTTTGAACTTGGTCTCTGGTGCGGTCGCGTACCAGCCAGTCGTCTAAATATGGGAACACCTGTATCCCTTGTGAACGAAGGTATGCCGCGACGACTGCCACACACTTTGTGAACACTCTGGGAGCCGAGGACAAGCCGAAGGGAAGGACTGCAAATTGGTAGTGCACCTTGTTTACTACAAATCGCAGGAAGCGCCTGTGAGGCGGATAGATCGCTATGTGGAAATAAGCGTCCTTCATGTCGAGGGCGGCGAACCAGTCTCCAGGATCCAGGGAAGGGATAATGGTCCCCAATGATACCATGCGGAACTTCAACTTTACTATGAATTTGTTGAGTCCGCGCAAGTCTAAGATGGGTCGTAGACCCCCTTTTGACTTGGGGATCAGGAAGTAGCGGGAATAAAACCCCCTGCCCCTTAACTCTGGTGGAACCTCCTCTATGGCCCCCATAGAGAGGAGCCCAAAAACCTCCTGTGTAAGGAGTTGCTCGTGAGAAGGGTCCCTGAAGAGGGACGGGGAGGGGGAGTGGGGACAAAGAAAACTGGGAGAGCGTATCCCCTCTCCACCGTGCGAAGGACCCAACGGTCCGAGGTTATAAGGGACCAAGCACGGTGGAAACGGGAGAGGCGATCCCGAAAAGGAGGGAGCTGGATCCTGGATATTGGCTGGGGCACCGTCCTCGACCGCACCTTCAAAAAGTTCTGCCTAGGGCCTGAAGGTGGCCTAGGCGGCCCCTGGTTTTGAGGCGGTTGAGGGCCAGTCGACCTTCGTCTGCCACCCCGGCCCCGCCTTCTGGCAAAGTCCTGTCTCGGACGAGGCGGGGGAGGGAAGAACCTTTGAGGCTGGGGCCTAAAGGGTCTGCGCTGAGGCCCTGGGACATGCATCCCCAGGGAGCGCATGATTGTTCTTGAGTCCTTAAGGCTCTGCAGTCGCGAATCCGTCTTTTCGGAGAACAGGCCCTGGCCCTCAAAGGGTAAATCCTGCAGAGTCTGTTGGAGTTCAGGCGGCAAGCCTGAGACCTGGAGCCAGGAGATTCGCCGCATGGCTATACCTGAAGCCAGTGTTCTAGCGGCCGAGTCTGCAATGTCTAAGGAGGCCTGTAAGGAGGTCCGCACCACCTTCTTACCCTCCTCTACTAAGGCCCCAAACTCCTCCCTGGAGTCTTGGGGGACCAGCTCTTTAAATTTTCCCATTGAGGTCCAAGAATTAAAGTTATAACGGCTCAAGAGCGCCTGCTGGTTAGCTGCTCTAAGTTGTAGCCCTCCCGCCGAATACACCTTGCGTCCGAACAAATCGAAGCGCTTAGCGTCCTTCGATTTGGGCGCTGCAGCCTGCTGGCTGTGGCGCTCCCGTGCGTTCACAGATGACACCACCAGTGAGCACGGTTGAGGATGGGTATAAAGGTATTCATAATTCTTTGAAGGGACAAAGTACTTTCTTTCCACGCTTCTGGCTGTGGGTGGGATAGAGGCAGGGGTTTGCCATATTGAAGAGGCATTAGCCTGAATGGTGCGTATGAGAGGCAGTGCCACTCTGGATGGGGCATCAGTGGAGAGGATGCTCACCACCGGGTCCTGTACCTCTACGATCTCCTCCGCCTGGAGATCCATATTACGCGCCACCCGGCGCAATAGGTCCTGGTGTGCCCGAAGATCTATAGGGGGCGGACCCGTGGCGGTTGTGCCTGCCACCGCCTCATCTGGGGAAGATGAGGATGCCTCCGGTGGCAAGGGGTCTAATGGCGGGTCCTGCTCCAGGGGTTCATGAAGCTGGGCATCACCTGTCCCTGGGTCCGGGGCCTCAGTTGGTGTAGGCACGGGAGCCTCCACGCCCCCTGGGGGAGGGCGGGAGATGGTGGCCTCCGGGGCCCTGGGCTCGGAACATGCCGAGCGAGAGGCTGACGGTGGTGGAGCCCCTTGCGCCTGATGATAGGCCCACGGCGTCCAAAAGGACCAGTGTGCAGGTCCCTGCACCGGGTCCTCGGCCGCCTCCTGCCAATGGACCAAGTCAGATGTAGCCGCCTGTCCCTGAGGAGGGTACGCCGATCTGGAGGCCCGGTCAGAAGAACGAGATGCCGATCTCGAGGGCCAAGGCGGTGCGGAGTGCGTCGAAACCGGCTCCGGATGGTGCGGTGCCGATCGGTGCCGATCATAAGGGGATCGGTCCCTGCGCGGTGCCGGTGAGCGGTACCGGGATCGGTGCCGGTAGCCCTGCCGGTGCCGAGATCCGGACCTTGAGCGGGATGATGACCGCGACGAGAGCTGGTACCGGGAGCGCCTCGAAGTCGAACGACGCTCATACCGGTGCCGAGAGCTACGTCTGGAGTCCGACCGGTACCGATGGTCGTGACGGTGCCGAGACGTAGAGCGGTGCCGGGAAGAAGACCTTGGCCGCGAGTACGACCGGTGCCGAGGTGATAGTTGGCGCCGGGACTGCGAGCGGCGTCGGGACCTGCTCCGAGATCTGGAGCGGTGCCGGAAGTCCCCGGCCGGAGACGTCGGCCGCAGCAGGGCAGGCTTGCCCCTGGATTGTGGTGCGTGGGAAGCCACTGGTGCCGGAGGTGGAGGCGGTGCCGGCTCCGTGAGCGCAATAAGGTCCCTGGCCGTCGCAAACGTCTCCGGGGTGGAAGGGAGACAGGGCTCCACCACCGACCGAGGTGGTGATTCCGTGCGCACCGGACTCAACGGCCGCGGCGCCGGAGTCGACGGTGCAGCAGGGACTTGCTTCTGTCGGTCCACGGTGGAACGCGGCTCTACCCCCGGCACCGGGGGAGCCGGCGTCTTCAGGACAGCAGTCTCCTGCGCCTTACGGGCTTTCTTGTGGCCCGGAGATATGGAGCGGCGCCAAGTCCCTTGTGGCGGGTGCAGTGCCGAAGGCGGCTGGTGCCGTGAGGACTTGTCTGATTCAGCCCACGGTGCAGTACCGGTCGGAGCCGCCGGGGCGCTGCGCACCGAGGTGCTCGGTGCCGGGGCTGGGCGCGCCGAGGGAGGGTCCGGGCTAAGTGCCGCCTCCATTAGGAGCTGCCGAAGCCTAAAGTCCCGCTCCTTTCTCGTTCTAGGCTTGAAGGCCTTGCAGATCTGGCACTTATCTGCTTGATGGGATTCTCCGAGGCACTTCAAGCAGGAGTTGTGTGGGTCACTCGTCGGCATAGGCTTAGCGCAGGACGCGCACTGCTTAAAGCCAGGAGCCTTGGGCATGAGCCCGGCTATGCGCCGGGGGAAAAAGGGGGGAGAACAACCCCCTTAACCCCCGCTAACTATTTACAACTATAACAAAACTGAAATGGATAACTATCTAAAGAGTAAAAACAACTAAAACTAGAACTATTCTACAAGATTGAAGGATAAGCTAGGGAGAGTGGAGAACAGCTATGCCGTGCTCCACAGTTCCAACGACCGTCAGGGGCGGTAAGAAGGAACTGAGGGGGCGCTGGGTCGGCTGGGGTATATATCCAGCGCCATGGAGGCACCACTCCAGGGGGCTCCACAGCCGACCCACCAGGTGTTGCTAGGGTAGAAAATTCTCCGACGATCGTGCACGCGGCGCGCGCACACCTGATTGGAATGGATATGAGCAAGCACTCGAAGAAGAAGTAGCCATACTAACTGTAAGAGGCTAATTAAGATGAAGTATTATCAGCAGGAGGGAAAAAAAAAAAAAAACAACTTGTAGTGATAATCAAGATGGCCCATTTTAGACAGTTGACAAGAAGGTGTGAGGATACTTAACGTGGGGAAATAGATTTAATATATGTAATGACCCAGCCACTCCCAGTCTCTATTCAGACCTAAGTTAATGGTATCTAGTTTGCATATTAATTCAAGCTCAGCAGTTTCTCGCTGGAGTCTGTTTTTGAAGCTTTTCTATTGCAAAATTGCCACCTTTAAGTCTGTTACTGAGTGACCAGAGAGGTTGAACTGTTCTCCTACTAGTTTTTGAATGTTATGATTCCTGATGTCAGATTTGTGGCCATTTATTCTTTTGCATAGAGACTGTCCGGTTTGGCCAATGTATATGGCAGAGGGGCATTGCTGGCACATGATGGCATATATCACATTGGTAGATGTGCAGGTGAATGAGTCCCTGATGGTGTGGCTAATGTGATTAGGTCCTACAATGGTGTCATTTGAATAAATATGTGGACAGAGTTGGCATCGGGCTTTGTTGCAAGGATAGGTTCCTGAGTTAGTGTTTTTGTTGCTGGTGAGTATTTGCTTCAGGTTGGGGGGCTGTCTGTAAGTGAGGACTAGTCTGTCTCCCAAGATCTGTGAGAGTGAGGGATCATCTTTCAGGATTGGTTTTAGATCTTTGATGATGTGCTGGAGAGGTTTCAGTTGGGGGCTGAGGGTGACGGTTAGTGGCTCTTATGCAGCTGCTATGTTGCTGTTAGCAAGTGGAGAATTCATGGTAGGGAAAGTGTTCCCAAGGAAAAATGTTGTTCATAAGCAGCAGTTGCTCTTACAAAGTGTTGCTGCACTGGTGGCAGTGAATCTCTCAATGCCAATGATGGACCTGGTTCTGCCAGAGTCTCCTCCCCAGACCTTTTTACAAAATGTTAAGATATTATTAACCTATGGAGGACTTCCATTTTTCCAGCGTTATCTATGTGAAATATTCCACCAGCATTCCATTCATTTAGGATCCCCCCCCCCCCCCAACACTCACGCTCTTGGCTTATTTAATTCAGTTTGGAATGAATTCTCCCCTCAGTTAAGTTAAGGTCAGTAAAGTATATCATTTGGACCAAGTGTCACATATACAAATCAGCTAGTCAACCAGAAGATAATTTCACAGTTGCCAAAAATAGCCTATCCTTCAAGAACAATGAAAGATATAAATATGCAAAATACACACAGCTCACACCACACACTATTTGTTATAACTATTACTTTAAAGTATTTTTTGTGCATGCAATTTAGCAAACAAAATTTACCTCAACTATACTAATCATATGAGGAAGCAGGCGATCCATTCGAACTTCCAGCAGCATCACCAAAGCCCGACACACATTTTTGCGTACTTCAGGCTCCTCATCTCCAGCCAACGCGAAGAGATTCTGTGGGGGAAAATTAAGACTCTTCTAATCCCATTATTTTATATAGAAAAGTACTTGCTATCATCAAGCAAGCGATCATGCAAGTGCACATTTGTGTGTTCAACACTCAATACCATTCAGTGATTGGAATTAATGCTCCTTTATAGTCACCTGAAAAGTACATAATACTGCACAGATTCTCTAACACTTTATATGGATATGATCAGGGCTGGATTAAAGCATAGGCACTATATACTATTGCCTCCTGGAGTTATGTACTTTTTCTTTAAAAAAAAAGTTTAGGGCTAGAAACTTGCCTTCAATCTAACAGTTACAAAGAAAGGCTTGAAAACATGACCCTAATATAATGGATGCATTAACGTTTCCCAAAGTCTGCAGACAGACAAACAATAGCACCAAAGGGTGATATTTAATCCCTGGATGTCAATGTAGCGTTAACACCAAGACTCAGTACCCCAGCAGGCCCTGATGAGAGGCTTCTGTGGCAAGTAGAGAAAACAGTACCAGGCCTGATCCACCCAAAAGGTTGCCTCAGCAATAATAGTAACAAACGTGGGATGGGGACCCTGCTGCTGCCAACCCAGTATCTCCAGGGAATGAGGAAAGAGGCCCATCTCTGGAAGGGGATTAGGTCCCCCTGCTCTCATAATCCTGGTGGGAGGGAGGGGGCACGCCATGAGGATTGACCACACCAAAAAAAGAAGCTTATGGAGGTCATAGGGGCCCCTCCAAACCATCATGCGCCTAAGGCCCTAGATTGCCTTGATCTAGCCCCCAAAGTCTTAAGAAATCCAACATAAATCTAAGTTAAATAAACTCACTTCTAAGCAATGAGGACCATGGCACATGTGATAGAAGAAACTGGATTAGTACTGGTAATGAAAGAGCCCTCTACCATCATATACTCAAACATTTTCTCAGAGAACAATCCAGTGGCTCACAAAGGATAAGTATTTTTCTTGTTTAAGTGACACTACAGCATGTAGTCTCAAAATTCCAATTATTCACATTTAGAACTTTCCTCATCTCAGATTTACATCAACTCCTTCCAATGTAAGCCAAGCCACAAGGACCTCTGAGGCTAAGTTCACTTAAAAGGGAGGTTAGAGCAAAAGGTATTCTGAACTGGCCCACAAACAGGCAGTGCTGACCCTATGGAGACATGGCCAGATCACTTAAAGGCTGTGCTGACTCAATATAATCCTGCTTCTAGGCAGGCCACAGAAGTTCAAATGCAAATTAAGGCTGTCATCTCCCAGCACAACAGTGCATGAATACAAAATCTAAGGGTAGCTGTAACCCTGGGCCAATATTCACATCTAGCAGACACAGGATACAATTGGCAAACCCTATTCTAGCAGAAGTTAATCAAGACCCTCATTGTAATGTGTTATATTGCCTGGAGGATTGTTCCCCCGTCCCCAATCCTCTCCTGCAGTTACCTACTGACAACTGCCCTATATGTATAAATACATAGGCCAAAGTGGAGCAGAAATGGAGATAACAGGAGGGCATGCATGATCTCATGAATTTGCCCATGTAATGACTGTAATTGTGTATGGTATATGTATTTACAAATCTATCTATTGTGTTTATAAATTAAACAATTGTTCCCGGTTTTGCACACAACTTGAAAATCTTGCCCATAATGCAATCAATTTGAACATAAAGCAGAAGACCGTACTTCTCCTCCCCTCACAGAAATATTCATCAGTCTCTATTACAGTGGTTCTTAGTGGTTTTCTTGGTCCATGATCCATAAAATGACTGAAAAAAATCATTCAGCAATCCACTATTCTCCAGAATTCTTTGAAATCACAAATAGTTAAGGATTCTGGATCACAGGACAACTTTGGCACCATACTGTGGATTTAAAGAGGTGAAGGTGGAAAGCATGAAGGCTGGTGTGCCTAGACTGAAGGAGCTACTGGATGGGGAGATAGAGTTTCTCCCTTTTTCCACCTACTCACAAAGCACTTAGCTGTGGAAGCTGGGGAGCAATGCTGAGGGCTGCAAAGCTGGTTCTACAGTCTCTCAAAGCCACCTTCCCCACTCTAGATTTGAAGGATGGATGAAGGATGCAGAGGAGCTACTTTACGATTGGGTAGTCTGATCAGAGGCAGCCACCACAGAAGCAGAAGGGGGATGGAATAGTCTGCTCTTTCCCAGCCTCTGCAGGTTTCTAGGCAACTGCCAGCTTTGAGACACCAGTACTACTTAATAGGCACCCCCGTCACGAACCACTGGTTGAAAATAGCTGTTCTAGTGGAGCATGTTACTCCACTGTTTTAAATACTTAGCAAAGCAAACATATGCAACAGGGTGGGGAGATCTTAATATTTTAACCATTCCTCAGCCAGCAAAGAAAAATACAAATTTAAAACTAATGTAATTAAGTCGAGGGCCAAGTCCTGGATACATGAGCTATAAACATTCTGTATCATTACTGCATGCAATGCCTTTTACAGAAAAAGCAGGTTCTTTGTTTAACAGGATTCTAAGCTCTTGATAATTCTAAAAATATAAAATTTAGAAAAAAAACCCACCTACCTCAATAAAAGAATCAATGTGTAACATAAGAGCTTGAGTTCTACTGATGATAAACTGATTGACGCATGCAACAGCATGGGACCTAGAGGTAGAACAAGCATTTATTTAAAACAGATGAAAAAATTCATTAGAAACTTTTTCTAAACTGTATACAATCATAAACAATTGGGAAGAGGAAAGCAAAGCAAAGACACACTACAATGTCTAACGGTAATTTTCAGATTCAAATAAGAGGAATCCAAATATGCAGATCAAGAGAGCATTTCCGAACTACATGGATTCATCTGTAATATTAAAATATTTTCTTTTCCAAAGGAAAATCTCAGGAATACAAAATACATGCAACACCTATGGACTAAACCCTGCTTTTAAAAAAATAATCTAAAACAATCCAAAGTACGTGCACTCAGTCAAAAAGCAGAAGGCTGAGGAATTAAATCCTCTTCTGTAAGAGCCAGCAGGCAAATAGGCCACTTCTACAAGTTAGAGGGGCAGGCAAACGAGGTAAAATAGATGTGACCCACTGCTCACCAGCACAGGGTTTGGGGCCAGCAGATGTACAGAGCAGATTCACTGACCAACCTCCCAGATTGTTCCAGTGCATAAAGTTAGCAAAGTGAAAGACACCTTCAAACTTGGCTCCTCTGCTCTAAGGCAGCACAGAATCCTCTAATCAATCTGCTACTATTGGGCCCTTTCAAGTCCACACACCTGTGCCTGGATTTGTCCTTAAGATTTTGAAGAAACTGGATGCATTTTGTAGAGTTCCTTACACTATATCAAGACTAAGACAGACGACTAAAAAAAAATGCATGATTAAAGATATGGAAGAACATCATGAGATTTGCTAGAATTATGGAATATGGCAGCTCTGGAAACACTGTGTAATTTCTGATAAAAGGAGCTTATTCTTATGAATGTTGACTTTCTCTCATCTGAAACTAGTAGTCCCATGCAATCTATGTGGTGATCTTTATAATGTATCTGCCTCCTTATTGTCAAACAGATGATTATTTTTGCAATATTATTTATTTTCAGTGGAACTAGTCTATATAGACGACAGGCCCAACTTCTCGAAATCTCAGACTCAAAAACCTGGATTTAAATTAAAAATTTAAAAACTAAAATATTAACAAGATAGAGTGCTTTTTTTTAAAAACGAACACAGATCCTGAATAAAATACATTCTAGATCACACCAATGAATCTAGACAGATTAGAAATATGGGCAAAGAAACAAAGGAAGATCAATAGAAACAGACTGGACAAAATGAATAAAAAAGATGTTTTGCAGAACACAATCCTATATTAGGAGAAGACTGGATTTAAACAGATCTTTTCCATCCCTAGCTTCTATAATTTTCTATAGAGCTAGGAAGTATTTTTTTTTTCCTATTACATATCAGTTGACACCATTTGCATCAAAAAAACCCAGTGTAAAAACAACTGGATTCCATGTTTACCCAGAACCTCAAACTGTTTTCAGGTATGGTCTTTAGACGTTTTCCCCCCTTTTAATTTTAAGCTCGCATCCTGTTTAGGCCATTTTGGGGGACAGACATGTAGGAGCTTTACAGCTCCCCTCTAAGAGAAATATATTTCCCTCAGGTGTTTAGAATAAATGTTTGATGACATCACTGACCAAGAATTACCCGGTGTGGTTGTTCAGCAGGGTCCTTCCACGAAGGGAACGCAAAATGTGTGTGTGTGTGTGTGTGTGTGTGTGTGTGTGTGTGTGTGTGTGT